CAAGTTATCGATATTCAAAAATGTGGTGTGACATAATTGATAAGCGATGGGAATTTTAATTACATATAGACTTACATGCGGTTGGTAAATATATAAATTTACATAAATTAATCATAACAATCTAAGGATATCTTCAATTATTATTTATGCTTAAATATCATTTAGAAGTAATGTTATTTATTCTTTTTTTATAGGTTATTTTTTGAATCTCTAATATCATTATGTACTCCGAGAGAATCCAATTTATCGGGATGAAAAAATCATACTAGGTGTCGAAGTGCAATTATGAAATTAGAACTTGACATTGATAAGCAAATCAAAGCCATCAATGAAGTAAGTTAAATAATCTTGTGGATTGTGATAACATAAGATGCTAAAAATATTGAACATCATATGATATATATTAATGTATAATATTATTAAAATATATTTTTTAATTTAAATATATAGTTGGAATTACATAGTTTGAAAAAACAAACATTTGGCTTAACCATAACTCAAAAGGTTGTGTATTCAACAAATCCAAGTACTTTATTAATATATAAAATTTCATACTATACATATTATTGGTGTTACTTTTTTTTTTAATTTATGAAAATTTATTTGTTCAATGTAGCCAAGTGGTGGAATAGTTGTAGAAGTGATGCTCTAATGCTTAGAAAGATTGCAATACGGATTTTGAGTCAAATAACTTTTGCTTCAAATTGTGAGAGAAACCTCTCATGGATTCTTAATCGCGATCCGTAGTTAGAATTTTTTGAGTGCAAAGAAAGGATCAAAAGTGGTCGTATTTGTCGGAGAATTGGGAGAGTTTGTGGATTGATTCCCTAAGTCTTCTTCATCGAAGACTCTTTCCAAGCAAGGACTAGTCCGCCTCGGATTTGTAAGCAATTGCCGGTATGCATCCTATTGAAATTATTATGTTCACGATTCTTCATCCACCGATGCGGAAAATCTAGATTATTTTCTATTTATTTTTTTTCAAAAACTCGGAGAATTCTCCAATCCAAATATTTTCTATATGGGCTTTTTTTTTGTATCGATAATATCATCTTCTGCTAGACGCTTATTGACAGGGATACCTCCCGGCATATCAAATAATTTTCTTTTATCTATTTTGTAATTATAAAAAATCTCTTGCTTATTATTTAAATTCAAAATGAGGAAAAAGTCCGGAATGGTCTTTTTTTTTCTAAAGCGAGTCAACCCCTAAATCCATTCATCGGATCGGAAGCCGGAGCGACTCCATTTCAAAAAAAGCAAGATGAGCCGGAGCACTTTTAGCTTAGTGCATGTGAAGATAAGAAATAGGTTGAAGTATAAAAAATTACATACACTTGTTTATCTTCATTACAATATAAATCTTAGGTTAAGAAATACATTGCGGAAGAGTCGAAAGAATTATAAGAAAGTTTTAATCCAATTAATTAGGATTATATGTTTTATGAAGATGATCCACTTTCTGTTTGGTTGGATAAAAATGAACAACCAATCCTCGATGGATAAAATATAGATTGGTTGCTTATGCATGATGATGATAGCAATGATGACGGTGGTGATGAAGAAAATGATCAAAACAATCCTAACGATGAAACTAATCCGCATGATAGTGATAATGATGGTGATGATGATCAAAATGAGGAACCTAATGATCCAGGAGCTTCTCATAATAGTAGTAGCAATAGTAGCAATGATGGAGGTTGTGGAAAGGAAATAACTTTTGATAGTAGTATCAATCCATTTCTATATAGGCGTGGGTTGTATGGTCTTATCGCACCTAGATTTGGTGCTAGAAATAAAGCACCAATAGTAAAACAACAACAATCTATTGTGCCATACTATATGATCAAGGACATCACTCTATCTCTTTCAAAGATAATTCGACTTTTATCTTCAATTATGGTCAAAGAAAATACTATCACTCACAAGGTCCAAAAGTATATGGTTATGTATCTTATGATTCACATGGTACTTCATTAGACCGGTCATTTTTAAATCCATAATATCTTCAAGAAGTTAGATCATCAATTGTCGCTTCATTATTTAGGCAATTGGGTTTGGAAGGATAACATAGTTGTTGTTGTAATTTTGATAGAAAAGGATCACAACATCAATAGCAAGATGATAACTATTATTATGATCCTCCGTGATAATTTTTTTGAAGATGAATATTTTGTAATATGTATATTAAAATTATAATGTATTTTATTAATTTTCATGTGATATTAATCTATTGGAAGTCTTATTAATTATTTTTTTATAATAAATTTAACTATTGTTATATGTTATTAAACTATTAGAGATGTTATTACTTATTCTTATGTTTAATTAGTAAAAATATCAAAAATATGTGAATTAGAATAAATTTATTAGTAGTTGTTAATATATTTACGATATCGGCTACTTGCGATAGTCATTATATGATCGTGATAAGCCACAATTTGTGATTACAATCACGATCGTCTTTTTAACTCGTTATCGCTATTTAAAATTATAGGTACAATTAATAAGTTCGTCAATTTAAGCATGCTTTCACAACTTCTCATGGGCTTTTTGTAAAACACTTTCTTCAATATCTAAAGCACGCCATCACTTAACGTTATAGTCTTTTCAAACTCTTCATTCCCAAATGTTCATGATTACTCTGATACTAATTGGGTTGACAATCCTGATGATCATGGCTATGTGGGTGGTTTTTGCATTTATCTTTGTTCCCATTTAATTTTTTAGAGTGCTAAGAAACAATGCATTGTTACTCATTCCAGCACCGAGTTCGAGTATGAAAGGCTAGCCAACACCACTGCTGAGTCAATTTGGATACAATCATTATTATCTGAATTGGATGTTAATCTATCTAAACCACTAGTTCTTTGGTGTGATAATGTTTTAGCTACTTATCTAATCGTGTCTTCAAGTTCGAACTAAGCGTATTGAAATTAACTATTACTTTGTTCGTGAATGTGTCAATTACAATTAGTTGATGGTGTAATTTATTTCTTCTCAAAATCAATCGGCTGATATCTTTATCAAAAGTTTATCATTTCCAAATTATGCCTTCCTGATGTCTAAGCTCTCGGTTTTGCCCACCTCAGCTTGCTGGAGAGTGTTAACTAAATAAAATCCATCTTGATTCTAGGAAATTAATATTAAATATATTCGTTGTTTAATTTTAGAAAACCGATATTGTTTATATATAGATGTAAATATATAGGATATTTCTGTTGCTTAATCTTAGAAAATTGCACCATTATTGTACAATTAATTCTATGCATTTCAAATTCTATATAATATGATGAACTCCTCACCAATTAAATGTGGTTGAAAAAGAATTTCTGTATTTTACTTGATTAGCCAGATTTCATGTTCAGATGGTTATACTATATTATGCAACAAATTTGTTCTGAACCGTTTGAGGTAATTTGTCTTAGGATGTTTTCTTCATATGATTATGGTAGATGCCGTAGAGGAAGCGCCGTAAAGATCAATTAGCGAGATTAGCCCAATAGACTGTTTGCTTATTTACCAGCTTATCTGGACTAACGTTTAGTTCCTGTAATGTTTTGCATGGACTCCCGTAGAACATATCCAAATGGTTTTTAGGATGGATCAAGGATCCATAGGAGGTTGAAGTCTTTCATTCTGCATCTTATTAGACCTGCCTGTGTGGTGTCATCTTTTACAAAATTTAATAACGACACTCGAATCTGAAATTTTTAAACTTTTAAATGGAATGAATTTCTTCTGATCACAGGAGCCAACTCCTTTGGAGCATGAAACATTTTTCATATTTTGCTCTTTTCTGAAGAGAAAATAATAGTAATTTGCGTGGGAGAAAAAGGCCCTCAGAAATCTAAGTTGATTTGCTGGTGGGCCTGCTTAATGTGTGTATTAGGCTTTGATGTAGATTGAATTTTGAAGTTATAAAAGCACGTTGTTTTTGGGGTTTAAAATTTTGCAGGCTGATATCGAAGTGAAAAAGAAAGAACATAGGCATATTTTAATTTCAGAAGAATGGGCTCGATCCACGTTTATTTTATTTTATTTTCCTGGAAGAAACCCCAATGGGTCAATTGTCTCTGGTCTTTAACACAAAATATTAGAAACTTGTATAAAACTACGGCCAATCCTTGTAACTCCAAACGAAAGAAAAAGAACAATTTTTCAACCATTTCTGCTATTATTAAAAAAAAAAAAATCAAACGAACCAAAAATCAGAGGACGTTATGTAGAGTTTGATCGAGAAAATTAAAATATAATAAATAAAATAATTATTAAACTGAAATATGCATTACATGCAATTCATTCTTCTTCTACTTTATTGGCGCGTGTTTGAGGAAAAAAGAAAGAAAGAAAGAAGTAAATTCTCTTATTTAACTAGTTCAATTGATCATGCTATTATTAGTTATCTTTTTTTAAAAAAAATCTTTTTCTTCATTCAATGTTTGTTTGTTTGTTTGTTTTTTTTTTTTTGTGATATGTAAAAAAAAACACTTGTATATTTCATTGTAACTATATTAATTTATCATAAAATAGTTATTTTTTAATTAAAAAAATAATATAGTTTTATTCTATTGATAATGATTTTTTTTTAAGTATTTATATATTTTCTTTGTTTTCAATCTAAATCATAAACTAAAAAAGGTAAATTTTAAATTTCTAACATTTTAAATTTTCTCATTACATTAAAATTTTATTTTGATATATATATATATATATATATATATATATATATTATTAAGAGTTATTATTATAAATAATACACATGACGTTATTTGCATCTTTTAAATATGGGAGTAGAAGCAATAATTTGATCATATTAAGAGTTGGCAATTACAGTTCTAAACATAAGGAATAAATCGATTCAATCAAAACTTCAAGAGGGGAAATTAGATTTGCCCCAAATTAATTTTATGGAATAAATTAAAATTAACTCTTATTATTAGATCTTTTTTGTAATCCATACCAAGTAACAACCATCAAAGTCAGGGTAACACCACAAACTATATCTCATACGTATAAACGGTGTCTTGAAAGAAGCTTTGTTGAACTTCAACTGCCAGTTCCTCAACACTTAGCTGACATTCTAACCCTATCTGCAACATCAAATTGAAAGGAAAAAAAAAAAAAAAGGAAAATCAGATAAGAATATATAAGAGTTGGGATAATATATGTATTCCTATAAAGAGATCAGAACCAGAATAATCATGACCACTGAGAGATCCGTTCCTATAAAATGAAACCCCAAAAATACAATTTTTCAAGTTTGCTATCAATCCTAGGATACATATGATCAGAACAAGAGTGGGGATAATATATGTATTCCTTTCATTTTCATCTAATTGGATATATTAAAGTATCAGAATTTTAGTGCGTGATGGGGATCGATATTTAATTAGAACACAATCTGGTAATGGCATGCCCTGTAGCACTTCTTGACCTGCTTGCAGCATGATCGAAGGTGACTGTCCGATCGAACACATGCTGGCCGGCTTCAGGATGTGTACTGTTGAGGAGGCAATTAAATGAAAGTAACCTAAGCCTATATATTATGTACAGCAAATTTGACTCCTCCAAATGAAAAATGAGAGGAGCATATATAAAATGAATAAGTTTAAGTGATCCAGAAAATATATAGACAAGAAAGGAGAAGAGAGATTGTGATTTGTTTCGCAAGTTCTCACCATACAATTATGAATAAACACTATATATGTATGTGTGTGTGTGGTGGTACAACTTCAGTTGCATCTGATCATCTTAACGTGGAATCTACTTATCCTTGTGTATATATGCATGCATATATAACAGATGCAAACTGTACCACAATTCATACTAGGAGTATTTCTTAAATATCATTGCATATGGAATTCCGACTTCGTTAAAAGTAAGAAGTAGAGGTCTAGAAATAGCCAGCACAAGGGAACTTCTCAAAATATTGACTAGCATTTTTTTAGCATACATTCTCTTAAATCTATATATTCCCCAAAATTAATAACACTATGGCTAAATGGTATTTCAATTTTTAATTTTATATTAGACATTTTTCTAACTATTTTGCATTTTACACTGGATTTTTCTATTAGATTTTCGCTAGTTTTAATGTGTAAATATATTTTTTTCATCAGCTAAAAACATATTAAAACTTATAGATATTTTTATTTTTCAAAATTTGTCTCTTCTATCTCAAACGCTAAAAAATAAGTAATTAAATAGAAACAAACAATTAAAGAAACACTGAAAAATGAACAATTAAAAAAAAAGGTAAACAATTAAAGAATATTTTAGAATATAAAAAGCAAATTTTAGAATGAAAAATAAAATATTAATAAGTTTTTGTATATTTAACTGTTGAAAAAGTTAAAAATTTAATTATGTATAAATTATGTGTATTTGTATAATTAGAATTGATGAAAACCTAATAACAAAAAATTAAATAAAAAATAATTAAAAAGGGACCCAACTCAAAATTAGAAGTTGGAGTTTGCATTCTCAAATGATTTAAAAGTTATGAGAAATTTACACCATTTAACCTAATACTATATATAATCAGCAATTAATATTCAACTTAATATTAAGATCAGATATATACAATTGGAACATTAGAATCTATATATATATATATATAGTTATGTTATACCTTAATGACAAAGGAGTAAAGGACAGTATCTTCCATGCTACTGATGTTCAAGTGAAGGACCTCAAAGGAGAATTTTTCCAACACGCTGATTATCCTCACAATTTGACCTGGTATTCGCCGCGATACTATTTTCAAGATCACATTTGATCCTGATATCTTTGCTTCAACATCTGCAATGGGAGAGTTGCAGCATGCAGCGCCTACTTCCGTAAGATCATTTTCAGTATTCCTAAAGGGAAAGGGGCTATGTTGATCTGCAGGAGGAAGGGTACTTATTAGCTGCTGTGGCGCTCTAGGGCTAGGGCTAGGGCAGGGACCAGGACTAGGGCTCAAACTACTCTTCCTTTGTTTCTTCAACTCCAAAGATTGTAGAACTTGGTGCAACTCCTTTATGAACTCTATTACACCCCCTATTATAGAAGCTTGGTCCCCCTAATCACACACACACAGATATATATTTATATATAAGAAGAGAAATCATATGATCAATTAGCTAGATAGAAAAGAAAATATAGAAAGGCTAGCTAGCTAGATATATAATTAAATAGATACCCTTTTGATATAGAAACATGGGGTCAAGGAACGTAAGACTTTGAGATGCTCATTCATCTGTCTTCTCCTGTTTCTTTCCACAGCTATGTGAGACATGCTGGTTTCCGCTGGTGGTTGATCTGCAGGTACCAGCAAATTAAGAAGACAAAAATGAAAAGATGAAAAGAAAAATCAAAGATGTTGGCTATTTATAAGGAACGAAGCAGCAAATTAAGGAGAGAGAGACCGATCTGCAGATCAAGCTAGCTACGTTGTTTGGTTGATATTAAATGCTCTATGTCGCACTCCCGTGAGGTATTACTACTCTCTTTTTATAATTTTCTACCCTCTCTCTCTCTCTCTCTATCGTAGGTTCGTAGATATTACGTCTCACGCTTATTATCTTGGTTCAATTACATGCTCCGCGTGAAGTTAAAACAATGGGAGTTACTGTTCCTTAGCTTCTTAATTATTATGTACTTCCACATTTTAATTTATATATGCAACAAAATGTAATACTACCCTTTTTTTGTTTTTTCTAAACAATTTCTTGTAAAATTAACATACCATAACAATAGAATGAGAAAAGATTCTATATTGATTCTGACTTTCAACTCAATATTATTAAGCTGTAAATCCGAATCAATTAAACGTTTATACCCAAGACAAAAAATAATTACGTCTTATCGATGTAGTTACAAAAAAAATTTAGTTAAAATGTCTTTTTTCATGACAAATATATCAATATTCTCTTACAAATACAAAATGTTTTACGTACTATCCTGTAATTAGTGGACTTTCCAAACTTGACAAGCCAAGGCTAGTTTCACCATACGTACATGCTGAGTGATATTAGTTGAACTCGCAACCAGTTTCGTAGTAGTGTTACTGGTGTGTTTAGCATCCATGGAGTTGTTGTGTTGGATTTAGAAGAGCTGTCTTAGATAACGAAGTTCTTAAGCTAGCTAGCTACATTGGTCAAGGCTTTGCGATTAAAAAATCACAACTCCATATATGCTGCTGCTAATTTAATATTAAGGATTGGCTAGAATTCAGTTCCATTCTCATTTTTCTTTTGCGCCAAACCTTTGGACGAAATAAAATTTGGAGGATTTATAACAGCAGAGTTGGACAAGGAGAGTATCGTGTATGTGTGGTTGGTGCCTTCATGGCATCCTGGTAATCGTACATGCACCAACCATGAAGAAATAAATACTCGCATATACACAAGTATTTAACTTCATTTGCAAAGATTTTTCAGAGGACTTTGCTCCCCATAATTTATAATTCCAGCTATTTGTTGATGCTACTGCACATCCAAATTAAGTTCAGAGTGAGCATCTATGATCACTAAAAACACTTTTGGCTAACCAATCAATAACTATAGTGTGGTTTGCAGTATCTGGCAATGTAATGCATGTAAAATTAATCATTCTGACCTAGTCCTCAAAATACAACTTTGGGATTAAGAGCCTTTGATTCCTAAAACTTTCTCCTTTAATTTGCCTCTTGAATATTGAACCCCTTCCGCAGAAATAGCTGCATATATATTAATTAGGAAGCACTGCAAGTCAGCAGCATAAATCATCGGTGCTCGATCTGCTAGCTGTGCCAAGCCAATTACGACATGCCTTATCGAGGTTTCTCCATGTACTTGTCCGAATGCACGTACTACCGATCACATTCATGCAGCTAAGTATCATAACAATTTATAAATAATTGAAATATTTAACAATCAACATCACAGTCACGCATCCAGCTCTATCAAGGAAAAAAAAAAAAAAATTGATTCAGATGACACTATCTATGACACTTGGCCATTTTGAATTCATCACCTTGTGATCTTCTCTCCATTTTTTGATCAAGGGTCAAAAGAAGAAGCCAGTCTTGTATTTTCACCAGTTTGATAACAATGAACAAGCTATTTAATTTCTTTGTTTTTTTTTTTTTAATCATAAATGCTATATTTCTCCTCCTAAAGCAGAGTGCTATGTCTTTTAAGCGCCCATGAGTGCCTCTTCACATCTCCCTTTGACACATCATGAAGAGATACCTAGCAAAAAGGGGGAAAAAAAATCAATTTTAGTACAAGAAGATAATTTGACCCATAAGAATCTATTTCAAACAGTAAACACTTACGAAAAATCACAGCCCGGTTGACGGAAAAATTTTTTGGCATCAGAGATTCTAACTTTTATCTACATAGCATGAAGTAGAAGGTTTGGACAAGCACAAAAGCTTGTTAAGAAATTTGTAACAATATACTTATTTTCTTATCCATGTTACTACGAAAAGGTTATAGCCAAATAAAGTGGCACCAAGCTGTTGGTGATGAAGAATGAGATGAATAAATATCTTCCAAGTTTCCTATAAGAGAAAACTTATATTTTTCTGACAGATTGTTATTTAAATGCAGCTAGATGTTCAACACTTTTTCTTTTTCTTTTTTTCCAAAGACAAACTTTGGTTTGAATTTAAAGGTTTTAATTAATGAGATAAGAGAGAAACGACAAATATCTAACTTCGATTAGGAGAAGGCCTAATGTTTCAGAAAATCACGAACTATATACGTTTTAGTGATTTTAGCTCATTCTTTAAAAATTGTATTGAAAGGCCATCAACTAGCCATATGATAACAATATTATCATTGATCTGATTTTTTGATCAAAATTCAAATCAATGCTGACATGGCAGATGATGAAGCATGACACGTGAACTTTAGCAAGCCATGCAGGATTCACGTAAACATGACACATGGACTTTAGCAAGTCATTTAGGATCCACTTAATTGATTTTCCATGTCACTAATTACGTGAATCCTATGTGGCTTGCTCAAGTTTACATGTCATGTTTATTTGGACTGCTATGTTATTGTTGATCAGAATTTTGGCTCAAAAATCAGATCAATTTTGGCCAAAAATCAGATCGATGTTAGTATTGTTATTGAAGGCTTAATTGGTGACCTTTTTATACAATTTTTAAAGAATAAGCTAAAATCATTAAAAAGTATATAGTTCGTGATTTTCTGAAATATTAAACCTCGGGAGAATGTTAATTTTTTCCAGATCACCAGAACCAAATAACATCAATAGATTGACCACATCAAGTATAATTTTGCAAGTTAATGCACATGAAGTATCAAAGATTATGCACCTTGAAGAGATTTCTCAAAGTCTTGAAGCTGTGAGATGAAACCAGAATTAGGACCAGCCTGAGGCCTTTTACTTTTCACGTGCGCCAAAGCTTCAGATAGGCTCATTCCATGTTTTTTCATCAAATAAGCAACAACAATAGTCACACTGAAAAGCAAGACAAATATATTGAAAGAAATTCAGTCCAATAAGAAGTATTGCATAACCCACTTTCAAACTGTGACTGTTTAAAGAATGAAATTAATTATTTCCTTTTCTTCCAATTTTCTTTCAAAGATCTTGACAAGCATGTTCTTTATTTCATTTGAGGCATGAATCCATGGAATTTTTCTCATGTAATAGATGCTATAGATAAATTTAAAAGAACTAAAAACACAACCGTAAAAACGATGAGTATGATTTAAAGGGTATCTTCTAAGTTGGAACTAAAAACATGCTCATCCATTAGGCACCTCTGATGGTTACCCTAACACGATCAATGTGTTGAAACATGTTATCGCCACTAAATACTTTCTCAAGTCTTTCCATATCTTTGACACCAACAGTTGTAAAAATCACTTGAAAGATAACCATACTACCGTGCCTTCAAGCAGAGATTATTGCAAATGAAATTGAATCTTTTAAGTCACGTGAATGGATGATCACCAATTTACTATGCAGTACAAAGGCTCAACATACCTGCAAGGTAAAGGTTGATCAACCAAGTTGTAGGAACCAAAAGTTTTTTATATTAATTAATATATCTAAAAAGTAAAATTCCCAAGGGGATTGGTTGATAAATATTAGATGTATAGGATCTCTCGGGAACTTCTGCACTGATTAAGAAGAAAAGGACATGTTTCCTGGAAAGCAAGTGACCTCTGCAGGGAAAGATGAATCACCTTCGGGATCTTCCAACAAAGCAATGTACCAAAACACCACCTCCTTTCCTTTTAGCTTCATCAATAAAATTGAAACACTCGTTGAAGTACTGTCTTAAATTGGTGTCACCTCTATCAGCAACTACCTCAAAAGAAACACCACAAAGAGTTATTGTCAATTTGAGTTCTAGGAGTGTGCGAACTATCAGAAGCTCCACATGAATGAGACAGAATTAAACATGGAAAACTGATGTAAGGCAAGGAAAGATTCCAACAACTTAGGAAAATTCATATATACATTCCAATATTGGAATGTGGGTTTGAAGCAGTCTTCTTTACAGCACAAAGATATTCTAAAGTCACTTCAGCTACAACTAGATAATAACTCAGATGCAAGCAGCAGAACATAGCGCTTAACAGAAGAAAAGAAATGGGAAAAAAAAATGCAAGGAAAACAAAGGGAAAAATAAAATTGTTAAAGAAATCATCCCTCGAGGTACTAATGCCAGTGAAAGAGAATTACTAATGCTATAACACCAGTTAAAAGAAGGGCAGATACCTCCAATGACTTTATATACAAAATCATTTGGATAAGAGGGAGGCAATGAATTGGCTACAGTTAAGACGTGTGTAATATTCTTGCTTTTAAGTGCATCCTTGTTAGTAGCAGCACCCACAGAACCCAAGAATAGGCCCTGAGAAATCAAAAGAAATTACAGAAAATCCAGCCAAACAATTAAAATACCAATCAAAACGTCAATTAATAAAGCAAGCGCCATAGCATTAGCAACCTTAATGACAATAAACATCAAAGTTAAGTTACCTCTTCAATCTGGCATGGAAACTTGTCTCCCTTAAAGAATCCAGTTACATTCATAACTCGCAAAAGTGCTGTTACTTGATTCTTGGTCGAATCATCAATCTGATTATTCATGGCGAGCAGGAGAAGACTTTTCTGTTTGCTGCTTATGATTTCCCTTGAAGCAAAGCAAAATGTTGTTAAGATTTGAATGGTTATCCAATACACATTTCGAACTCTAGCATGTCTAGTTTATCAAATATGAATAACATTTGAAAGTTTATCCCTTATCAACATTACAACCTGGTAAGACTATGAAGACCAAACCAAACTAACCATGAGTGACAACTGTTACCGAACAACCTACGGTACCATTCTCGAGAACTACATTAGTGTCATTCTAATTTACACAAAATGCTGTAATCAAGATGGAATAAAAGTAGCCAAATTGGGAATTAAAGAGATGAACTCTTTATAATGAGAAATCTAAAAGATGAACACATTTTTATTCTACAAAAGGATCAAATAGACCAAAAACATTAAAAATTCCATCTGGGTATTTCACAAATTTCCACATCTTTAAGAAATAACACCAATGTAAAATGAAGAGTGAAAGGGAGAGAGAAGATCCTATTAACCTTCGATTAAGCGATCTCTCTGAATCCACCGCAATTTAACTATGATCTCCTCGTCCTCCCTGCTAGAACTAGTGGAAGAAGAAGAACAAAGGATTCTCTGCTTACCCACTATTTTGATCTTTTGACACGTTTCAGTTGTAAAAAAAGAAAAATATCAAGGGCATATCTGTAAAGTTACTGAAATGGAAATTGGCCAATTAAGGGTGAGAGAGAGACACAGTTTTAGAGCCCCTCAGTTTCACTCCGCTGGACCAGACTGGATTCAACTCCTTTGTTTTCATCCAGCGGTGTTTCGCAAATGGAAGCACTGAGTGGTGGCAATGGAGGGTTGTGGAGGTGGAAATGGGAACATAAAAGAAGGATACAACAAAGGAAAGCATCGAAATCCTCTGATTCAGCAACCGGAGGAGGAGGCGGTCACCGGTTCCCTTTAAAGCAAGCTGTGACCGCAGGTTCGCTTGCTCTTACTGGTGACACCATCGCACAAGTTACTGACCGCTGGAGAAAGAACAAGCCATCCAAACGACATTCCTTTGACCACGAAGCTTCTCAAAACTCCAACGGCAATTCGGTCAGTGTTTCTTCTCATGTATTGGAAACGAATTTAAGCATGTTGTTATTGTTTGTTGATTTATTTAGCAGTAAAGTAAAATAATTTATTTGTATTTTCCTTGAACTTGATTTAGAAAAAAATGTACATGTTATTGGCTTAGCTTATAAATTCAGTCTAATGTTGCAAGTCTACAAACATTTTGATAAGTTTATGTGTTTCAAAATCAGCACAAGAAGTTTTAGCATAAAGAAATACAATCTAAGGATTGGTGTGATTTGTTTATTTATTATTTGATACTAGAGAAGATAACAACTTCAAGTGCATTTTCTTGTTTCTTTATTAGCATCTTGGAAATAAATTTTTATTTTTAACCATGAGTATAGATATGGGGCTCTTTATATATTGGGTGGTGTTCCACTCTTGTGGGGGAACCAACACTAAAAACAATATAAAAAAGGATGAACTATGTAATGTGTCCCACTGCCAGCCTTGTCTTCCAAAGCCAATGTTGGGCTTTGTCAACATAAAACAGGAGAGATGGAGACTTTTTGAGAGAGAAGAGGTAGAATTTGCGGGGGAAAATAGAATTGGGTTGCTTTCCTCTTCTGAATTTGGATGATCATTTGAAGTTCGATTTTGATGAGATTTAATTGTGGTATTATTGACCCAAAGTTCTGCAATTGAACTGTGTTGGTTGCGGTGAATGCTTTTCTTTGGGATATCTGTATCTAACTATTATGTGGGATGCATTATCTTATTTCAGTCATTTATTGTTGAATTGACCTTATCAGTGAAGGTTATTATCTCATTGTCCTCTTAGTGTAACCTACATGCGTAACTTGATGATGTCCTAGTAACCTTGAAAGAGCTGTTGGACTCACTGTTTACATCATGAAAAATCTATTCTCCTGGTCAAGTTGTTGTATTCATTACCTCCACATTGGATGCTTGCCATGTGAAATTTGGAGTTTTGATCATGCAGTAGCTTGTTTGTTTTTATTTTTATATTTTTAGTTCTTCCTTCCTCTTTGTCATTTTGTTTTATTGTTGATTCATACTTTGGGGCTTGAATTGTTTTCTCAAGAATTTGCTGCTTCTGTTGTAACTTATATTCTATGGCTTGAGGGTTTGTGTTCTAAACCCAACACGATCTTATTATTGGCAGTGTCTCCTAGGCATGTGATTAGTACTGATTCTTAAGCTTTTCTTTTCATCCTACAAGACTTTGCACAGTCCAGCTTAATTTCGAACACTAATATAAATTTGCATTCAGTCTTAGATAACATAGAAAGTGTATTTACCAACGCATAACATTGCCTTACTCTATATAGCACTGGAGTTTACCTTCAACCCATTTCTATTACTGGCAGTTTGCTAATGTTACTGATTTCTATTCTAGGCCAGAAACCTTCGCGATGCATTCAGGACAAGCCAATAATATTGTTATCAGTGTTTATTCTTATCTACATAGTGTTTAAAGTTGTTTTGAGTTTGGATTTTGATGAAATGCTCTCCTTTAGGATTTTAATGGGATTCTCCTTTCCGACCATGATTGGCTCCGTGCCTTGCGAATGACTTCTTATGGGTTTCTATTGTATGGCCCTGGTTCTTATGCATGGTACCGATATCTTGACCACTGTTTGCCAAAGCAGACAGTGAAGAATCTGATGCTAAAGGTACTAGATCATTTGGATTTCACTGTTAACTTCTTATAATTGGGAGAAACCTGATAGGTCAAAGAGTAGCTTTGTTGAAAAAATATGATGCAAATTCTTTATTTCCTTCCAGGTTTTATTGAACCAAATAGTGCTTGGTCCATCTGTGATTGCTGTTGTCTTTGCATGGAACAATATATGGCAAGGGAAGCTTTCACAGCTTCCAGGAAAGTATCAAAGAGATGCTCTTCCCACACTGCTTTATGGTAATAGCCTCATGATTCAAACTTTTGTTGACTTGAAAACAAGTTTTCGTGTGATTTAATGTTTGGTCTCAATGCAGGATTTAGGTTCTGGGTCCCCATCAGTTTATTGAATTTTTGGTACATCTTCTGCCCTTTTTTGGTGTGCTTTTTATAGTCCTTGGGTTGGAATCCTTGAGCACAATGACTATTACGCGAAGAACAGCACTATGATTTTCTTTTTCCTTTATTTTTTCTCAAATACACAATTAATCCCTCATTTTTTATGCTTTCATGTGTTACCTGGATTTTTTTGGGAGATACAAATGTTAATATAGCTCCAGAGACCTTTCTAAATTGGAGCATAACTTTTAGTGAGAAAAAATATGTGATTTAAAACTTACTGTTAAAGGTTTTCTTATTTTGGTGAAGACAAGGAAAGAAAACGTTTAACACCATAAAAAGCTGCATTATGTTATATATCAGAGTACAATAGTACACATATACGTGCATATGATGCGCACATACATGCACATATAATTCTTTGGCAAAATTAAAAAAAATTGATGTCTTAGAATTACACTCATTTCCATGTTTTTATTTTGGCCAGTTCTTTATAATCAACAGGAATTTCTTCCACTGGCTTATTTCCCTTCAAGACCTGAAAATATGGAAATCATTTTTTGTTCAACTTATTTTCAATAAAACAAGCAAGGTTTAACTTTTCACAGACTTTGTTCCACTTCTAAAGTTGTGATATTCAGCAATGTACAAGGTTTTCAGACATCACATGCTTATGTTGAGGGACTTTTTTATATGGAAGCTCTGATAATTTATTCCCCTCCTATCAGCAAGAAAGCTATAACTTCTTATTAAATTGTAAAGTGTTAATAAAAAAATAATAATAATAATAATAAAATTGAGTTTTATGAGAACAATTGACTGGGAAAATTTTGCTTACTAATTTTACAAGTGCATAGCATAACATTTTGTCTCAGCCTCTCTGATCCAGTTACTTTTAGGTTCTATAAGATTTTGAAGCAATTCTGTGAAACAATTCTCTTGGAATGGATTTGGATTTAGGTTGTAGAAATCGCATGCTCTAGCTCACAAATCCTCTCATGAAAGCTTATTAATGAATGCTGAAGGATTATGCGGTGATTTAGGGTCAATAAGTCGTTGTATTTATAAAGATAGCTTCTTTTGTCACTTAAGGAAACTTTAAAACCCCAGTTATATGGTTTTGCTTAACAACTATAGGGACACTGTTTTGAGGAGTCTGACTTTCCAAGATTATTGAAGAGTGAAATTGATTGTGTTAAATTCCTAAGGTTCATTTGGTAAACCTCTGCTTAGAATATGGTTCTTCAAGATAGACTTCACCGATTGTTTCTTATTAAGTTAATAGTTTTTTGAACGGTTGGCATGATTATGCAATGTATTTGGAAATTTTATAGGGTTGTCCCCCTTCAAGCTCGTGTAGCTTTTATGTCCATGGGGTCTATATTTTGGAACTTCTGCTTGTCGTCAACAATGAACAAGTAGATTGTTCTGCACCATGGATTCATGCTGTAGAACTATCATGTCAGCATTTTGAACATAAGGTATGTTTTTTCATATAAAAAAAAATGAGCTTTGTAATACTATATGTGCTTTTATTTCTTTTGTTATTGTTTAAAATCTCGACTATGTGAAACAGGTTGACCTTTCCTCCCTGAAACACACAATTGGGTAGAGCTAGATTCGCTAAGGGAAAGGCAGCAGCGAGAAGCAGTGATTGCAATCTTAAAGCAACTTGAGATTTTTACCGATCTAAAAAAATTAACTTGGCTGTATCATGTATGAGATTTTCTGAAAAGGATTTCGGTTTTGTTGTGATTCGTTGCTATGAAAATAGAAAGTAGTTGTTCATTGATTCAGGACCAATCATTATGCTTGAGAAAACCGTAAAGTTACTTGTGTCTTCCATCTCCTGCTTTATTTTCTCAAGTGTGCAACGCCAGGTTCTGTCTCTTCAACCTTTCAATAGTTGGTTGGGGTACTCGTAAACCTCGGCAGGTGCTGCCCAGAGCGTTCTTTTTAGTCATGGAACGGGTTTTGGTCACCTACAAACCCATTTTCCATCTGCTATGTTAGAGACTCTTGCAGGTTAACAAGCCTTGTTTCTCCACGCCCTGGATGCTAGCTTTAAGAGGTTGATATGGTGGTTAAGGAGATGTGCATTTTCTGATGACTTTGTTGTGAGTTGTTACATTTAATCTGTTAATTAGGGTTGGTGAGAAGAGATATTAATAGCTGTTAGATTGCGTGGCAGCTAGTTAAACAAATCAGTAATTAGTCTAACTAATTAGATGAGGAGGCGTGTTAGTTAGTTAGGTTTGTGGGTTAGTAACAATAAATGTGTAAGGAAGGGATTTTTCGTCAGTCATTTTTCAGTTGTAAATAAAGAAGTCAATATAGAATTCTTCTCTCAAACCCTTTAATTCTTCTTGTTCTCCTCCCATTCTAAGAACTTTGTTAAGAGAAAACTCTTAACAAAATGGTATTAAAGAAATATAGAATCAATTAGGGGTGAGCAAACGGTTAAACGGTTCGGTTAAGCTTAATTCGGTTCGGTTTTTGGTTAATCGAATTAGAAAAAATGAAAACCGAAATCAAACCAAACTAAATTCGGTTAATTCGGTTTGTAACCGAATTATTTCGGTTCGGTATCGAAATAATTCGGTTATAGCCAAACTTTTATTCTGTGAAAGATTTTTATTTTTATGGTATTAGAAACTAATTTAGTATTAAAAAAATGTAATAGTACATCCTAAAATTGTTTGCAAGTCATTTATAAACTAAGATGACAATCAAAGTTCCAAGATAGTGAACTAAGACAACAATGAAAGTTCCAAAACATTCGACGAGAAGGTTCCAAGGATAACATGATTGATAACCATAAATTGGATGCTAACCTAGTAACTGCTCTAATAGAGGCACGGAGCCGATTTCGGTAAGCTTACCGACCATTCACATAAAGAAACAACCACAAGGCTAATATGTGATTGGCTAATTGGCCACCATCAACCATCATGACAAATATCGGCATTGCTCGTATAATAGAACCAATCATAATCACCCAACAAACAACAAATTAAAGTCTAAAATTGCAAGAAAACTAAACAACTCATCTAAAATCAATAAACTCAAAAATAAAAAGAATGCATTAGACTCACCAAACCAAACGCAGCAACCGGAAGGCACTAGGCGAAGCGAGACATAGACACGTAGCAATCGGAAGGCGGTAGACGGAATCACGAAACACCAGAAGGTAGACGGCATTAAGCGGAACCAATCAACCAATCAATCGGACACATCGGATGCACCAAATAGCCAAATATTGACGGATACAAATCATACAACATTCAAAAAATATGGAAATATGAAAAGCAACATTCAACATTCTTACTTAGACTTTGAGTCTTTGACTACCAACGATCCAACACCTCGAAAGAACGTAAAAAAAGAAAAAAAGAAAGATTCATCAACAATACAACATACTTACATATCAAAATCTAGATTAGAAATGACTACACATCCAAAAACCATAAAGAAAATTTCTCACAATAAAGAGTCTTGCTTGTAACCTTGGACAACCTTGAGCCTTTGAGCCTCCTTCAACGGTTGGTCGGCTGGAGCGTTGGACATTGTCGGACATCCAATGGACACTTGGACGGCCTTGATATGTGTAATGAAAATTTAATTCAAGGTCGGTAGGCGGTAGGCCGGTAGCATTGACCGGTGCAAGTCAAACATCCAACCATGCATAAGCAACGAAATAAAAAAAAATCAATCTTAAAAACTTAATAACTTACACATATCATTCAAAAAGCCAAAACACTATCGAGTAATCAACCCATCAAACATTTGTAGTAGAGTTAGTGGCACGGCAATTGGTAACTACGAAAAATAAAAGATAAAAAAATTAACCCTTTATCATTAATATATAGGAAAGAAATAACAAATTAAATGATAAGAGTTATAGAAATTACCATTTTGCATTTTCTCTACATCTTGTAAATTTTCTTCAATAATAATTGGCGTCGATGAATTTTTAATCCAATCTTGAGCACATATAAGAGATTCCACTAAGGTAGGAGTTAAAGAACTCCTAAAGCGATCAAGAACTCTTCCTCCGGTGCTAAATGTCGATTACGAGGAGACTCGTAGAAACGAGAACCGCTAATACATCCCTAGCCATTTGTGAAAGGATGGGAAACCGAGGAGCATTGGTTTTCCACCACTCTAAAATCTTGAAATCAGCACTTATTATTTTCAGCACTTTCATCAAGATATTTGTCCAACTCCGTTTTATTTCCTCCACTTCCAATATCATACTTGTATTTTTCAAAACGCATCATTATCTCCATTTTTATTCTATTTTCTTCTTCATCAATCATTTCTTTATTTGCACAATCCATATCTATTTCCCAACTCCCACTAGTTTGGCCAATTTCATCTTGAGATGATGAACGACAATAGAAATCATACATGGCATTTATAGATCCCTTCACAATATTTGACATATTTTGACCCTCTAAATCACCATACAATTCCTTGATTGAAAATTCAATAAATACAAGTTTATGCCTAGGATCAAGTATTGTCATAATATAAATCAACTTATTCATTTTCTTAATATCCCCCCAATACTTCTCAAACTTTTCCTTTATTTTATTAGCCAATGCAAAATCATCCAAATCCTCACTTCGTTGCCATTTTTTGAAAACATGTTCAAGCGCATAAATCTCTTCAAAAAAAATATTTGAAGTCACATACAAGGAACCCGAAATGCGCAAAGTAAGATTGTAAAAAATTTTCAACATGCCCACCATCTTCTTACAAGTCTTCCAATCATCCACATTAGGTGGCCCAACAACATTATCACCAAGATCTACATCAAATTCACTCCTATATAAAGGATCAATTTGCTCGTATCTCTTAAAAGCTCTCTCAAACTTTAGAGCCGACTCTAACATCAAATTTGTTAAATTCCACCTAGTTGCGACATCTAGTTGTAACAAACTCTTAGAATCAATTTTCTCAAGTTGAATGCATTCTTTAAATCTTTTCAACCTAGCTGGAGATTGCCTCACAAACCTAACGGTCGATCGAATATGAACGATCGAAGAATTAAAATGTTTTAACCCATCGGCAACAACTAGATTCAAAGTATATGCCATACACCTCATATGAATGAATTCTCCATCTAAGATGCTATAACCTCAATTCTTAATCACATCTTTTAAGTGTCTAATTGCCACATCATTCGAACTTGCATTATCAGCCGTAACACTAAAAACCTTCTCAATTCTCCAATCAATCAAGCACTTCTCAATGGCAATACCTAAATCTACTCCTTTATGACTATCAATCGGACAAAAATTCAAGATCTTTTTATGCAACTTCCAATCATTATCAATAAAATGAGCGAGTTAAACACATGTAATTGATTCTTTGAATGGATGTCCATGTGTCCGTAGTGAGGCTAATTCTTTGACTATTTTGTTTCAAAAATTGCTTCAACTTTATTTTCTCATCTAAATAAAGTTGATAGCAATCTCTTGAAATCGTAAAACGAGATGGAAGTTTGAATCTAGGTTGCAAATTAGACAAAAACTTTTTGAATCCCCTACCCTCTATATGCTTAAATGGAAGTTCATCTAGAATGATCATTTCGGCTAAATCTTTTCTACTAACAATTTGATCAAACTTCCATGTGCTAAGACTATTTTCTCCCACTTCAAGCCTTTTAAGGTCTAATTGAGTTTGTGTAGAGTCAATACAACTAAAAGGGTTTTTTTTACAAGTCAAAATATGAGACCTAAGTGAGGTTGTCCCATTTTTTGAAGGATTACAAGCAAATACCTTAGCACAATAGTTGCATTTAGCCTTCATGTCTTTATTGTCATCTTCAAACTTTGTGAAATGGTCGCACACCATCGATCTTGGCTTCATTGATTTCCTCTTCTTTCCTTTGACATCTTCTTGATTGTTAATTGAAGTTGGACATACACCTACACTTGATTGTGTATTGGGATTGCTTGAACTCACATGTTCATAATTCATCTCTTCGGATTGAGATTGTGACATCTACATAAATAACAAAGGAACAAGAGTATTAAGCTTCACACTCTTAAATAATCAAAAAAACATAATAAATATACACAAGTTGCCAAGTTGGTAGCATAATATGGAATGGAACTGCCTACTGTTGATAACCACAAAAAAGTAGTCTAACCCTCGAATCAAATATAGGCGGATGCTACTGCCTCTGCCTTAATAAAAGGTGTGTCCAACTATCCATATTGAAGAGTGAAGACGGTTAGACACTTAGACGGTAGCAAAATTGGGTAGAATTCTATAAAATCCTCTCCTAAATCAGTAGCAAACAAAAAAGTAGTCTAACCCTAAAATCAAATATAGGCGGATGCTACTGCCTCTGCCTTAACAAAAGGTGTGTCCAACTGTCCATAATAAAGAGTGAAGACGGTAGACACTTA